GTTTGTACGACAAGCTTCCTAATTGGACCCACACAATAGATACGAAAATTAGAGCAACTTAAAGCGATGCAAAGCGATTGACCGTAGAGATGGAAGTGAAGTTGAAGGCGGAAATCGTCATTGCCCTTTCAATCTCATGCTGTCTCGCTCCATTTCCCTCGGGCCTTGACATTGGCCCTGAATTCCAATATTAGTCAATCCCGGCCTCATTTGCATATTTCGCCGGCCACGTGCTGTCCGGTGGTGCCGTCTATTCTCTCAGGAGCATATCTCCGGTGGTCAGGTGATCTGTGATGTTTTTCCGATGTATAGGATTGCCTTGCAGATGGGCCTAAGCGATTACCCATACTATTGACGGTTTGCGTGTATGTGGTTGTGTGACCTCCGGAATGTGCTGCACCCTCGTGGGATGTTCTTTTGAGTCCGCAGGAAATCTGAATTACCCCGCGGGACAATGTTATGACAGGTGTGAAGGATGTGACTATGTGAGATTTTCGGTTGCTGTTCTTCCTGGTTCCAGGACGTTGTGACTCGTTCCCCAGGCCTGTAGATGGTCCTCTCCGGTAGCTGATGATCTCCTAGTCTCTCTAGTGAGTCAGGACTCCTCGTGGCCACTCATCGGCTCACTCATTCCTTATAAACTAGACCTATCCTCGAAATGTACGATCGGTGCATGTGAGCGTTCTCCGGATTATTTTATTTGTTTCCCACACGTCCAATCGAGGACTAAAACGGAGTCCCTTCATCGCAATGTACAAAAACGAATGGGAACGCGTCTTCGAAAGTTGGTCGAGAAGTGCAATAACCTCAGAGTGCGTAACAAATTGACCGGGAAAATTATAGATAAACTATCACGTTATTATGGTTTGGCCATTCGACGGAATATAAACTCAGCCGAAAATATGAAAAAATGATATATGGGCTACGTTTTATCATTACTCTTCTACGGATTAAGATCCGCAACATGAAAAATCCCCGAAAGGTCTCGGCTCGTGGTGTACCTGGCAACTAGCGAAAGCCAAAAGTGCTTTGAAGACCTATTCCCACAATTATATGGCTTTTCCAACCGACGTTTTGGAAGCTATTAAACCAATCTACAAAGATCTAACCGACGATACTTTATCGAAATGCTGTGTTGGAAGATATACGCAAAATAGTAACGAGAGGTTCCACAATTTGATATGGAAAATTTCTTCTAAAGTGACAAATGGCGGAAAAACCTGTTTCGAAATTGCAGCATATATTGCGACCTGCGTATTTAATGAAAGTGCTGGATCCTTGATAAAAATAATGCAGGAAGTGGACATTTCGACTGAAATAAATGCGTACAATTGGGCTTTAATGGAGAATGACAGGCGGCCTAGTTCAGCAGAACATGCAGCAGAAAATGCATTAAGAGAAGCACAAATTCTCAAGAAAAACCCAAAGCAAAACGATGACGATTTTTACGGCCCCGGAATAGATGAAGATCTGTGAGTATTATAATCCATCACCTTCACCTAGTTAGAATAGAATAGTTTTCGAATATTTCAAAACAGTCTGAACGATAGACGCGGAGTCAAACTCTCTGTCGCCCTCGGGTGTCGCATAGTGGAGAAACTTTGAACGTCATATCCCGAAACTTATATTTTAGAAAACGGTACCATTAGTTTCCCCAATAGCAATGAACCGATTTTGTTGAAATTTCACAGGGTGACATTTTGTACTATCCTTTTGTATGTGACGTTCGATTTCTTTCCGTATGACGTTTTTTTACTCTTTTTTATGGCGGAAAAGTGTTCTAACTTCACACCTGAAATACGTAAATAATTCCGTAATTCATACCTTTCGTGAAAATTGTTGATAATTTTTTAGCCTGGGTGAAAAGCTCAATCTATCTACCCTCTTCAAGTTATCAATAATGATTTTTGTTTCAGGAAAAATTAACAAACAAATTCTGATGGCACCGTAGAGGGTAGCGAGCAGAAACCAACTCTGCCCAACACCATTTAATATGCAAAGGGCTCAGAAAATTTTAATCTTTTTTATAAATATTCTTTGAAACAGGCTCTTCCTATAACAACTGATTTTTTTGAAGTTTATTAATAAATAACATGACAATATAATCACTGAAAATACCCCTCACTTCGCGCCCGCCAGCTGTATGTAGCCCCTTGAATCTACCGTTTGACCGTTGTAATCACTACATTCTAACTCGGTCAACCCTCGAAACCATTCACTTTTTATCCTATAGGGACTTGGTCCTACTATTTCCATAAAAATGAAGAAAATTGAATTCATGGGATAGTTCTGAATTATTGCTATTGCTCTGATCTATTAAGGAATTGATAATTGATGACAGAAAAACAATAATCCTGCCCTTATCTATAAACTATCATGATAATTCTCATTTTATATGACTATGTGATATCGATTTACAAATTAAAAACAAATTTCCATCCCGCTGCGTTTGTTATAAGATTATCATTTAATGTATGATATTTAGTCTCTTGTTTAGTGACACGGTATGACGGAAAAGTTGGTGGCTTGCGATAGTACGGTGTTGATATGCTACCAGCACAAAGAACTGCTGACTAAATAGTGTAGTCAAATTAAACTGAAAAATAGCCAAACCGCTCTATAAAATGACATACCATAACACACATACTAATATGTTTGATGAGATGGCCTGGATGGGTGGAATGAATAAGCGATGGTTTAGAAAGTAATGGATTTCGGGAGTTGATGCGCGAATTGAAATAATCACTGTACGTGGTTTCCACAAAACACCGTATATTGTCAGTAATTAGCAGTTTAAATAGTTTCAATAAGTCAATTATGTATTATACAGAAATAAATAACTCAACTAATGAGCTGAACACTGTTTAAACAATACTGAGCTGTACTATAATGACCGGAATGATAATAGATGAGAAAACTGAGCGGTCGAATCTACACGTGGTGTCCGAAATCACATCCGAAAAACGAGTGAGTCGGGCGCGATGCGTCGTTGTGTATGTGCGAGGTGGGGTGAGAAAATTCGGGAGTTATCCGTAGGGTGCTGCCCTCGAAAGTCAGCCGAGCAAGTGTGTCGGTGTGAATCCGTCATCCACAGATTTCCAATATAATAGATAGATAAAAATCCCTGAAAAAATATTTATAAATAATTAATCAATTTTTGTGAGTAGTAATATTGAAAATAATTAAAAACTAGCAGTGTTTGTTGGGGTTACCACTAAAAAATTCGTAATTTCAACTGGACTCAACCGATTAAAAAGAAAAACAAATTACTTTGCTGAGTGGAAAAGTCCACAGAAATTCGATATGGAAAATGATGTTCTAGGGCTGATATTTGTTGTATAAAAAAATATGGAAGTTCATTAACCTCAATTATGCAATTTTCCAAGCGGGCTTCTTGAGGTGCAACCCCTTTTTGGGGAGCGGGAAGAAGTGGTAGACACAATAAATTTGAATTGCTTAACGTGCTGGGGGTAATAATTCAATCATATCTATGGCAGCATTGTGATTCGTCGGGCTTTAAAGTTCATCCATGTAACAATGTGTAATGGATTTTCCGCCGGTGCTTCACCAGCAAACATCGCAAACTATTTTGGCATTTTCTCTATCGCTCAATTATATCGGGCGCCAGCTGGATTTTTACGGAAAATCCAATTGTAAAACGGCCTGAGAGGATAACTCGTCCACCCTGAGGACTTCTCGTGGTGGGACTACCAATGCCGAGCCAGCATCAGCGTAAAACGTTAGAGTGGGCGAAGTCCACCATACTAAGAGCAATTCACTCGATCGATCTTCGTCTTTTCAGCCGAGAGACCTCGATAAAGCGTATCTTCCAGGAGCCATTCCTCCATGTATCTTTCGTCGAGGATGTTTCCATTCCTCTGACGTATTCCTTTCCTCTCCAGAGTGGCTCAACTCTGGAGAAGTCGACCATTACCTGCGAATCCTTCTCACTCCTGGCAGCGCTGAATACTGAGAGGCACATGCGACACAGGTATCCGGAGACTTATTCTCACCCACCTGTGCCCACCCCAACTCAACCTCAATGCTCAGTAAAAGCACTATCATCGCGAGCCAACACCCAAAGTACTCGTCGTGGAGGCACATGCGATCGGGCCTCCAGGAGTCGGCCTAACTCCCGACCCACGGATCCACGCCAATACCACTTCCTTTGTCCGAAATGATGGATCCCTGAGAACATGGAATTAAAACACCCCACGTCCTCAACGTAATCCGATCATTCTGTTTGGGACGCCGAAGCGTCCCATTCTCTCGCTGTTTCGGATCTTGTCCTCACAACGGATCCCCATAATCCATAACGGATCAATACCACTTACGACTATCGTCGAGGACCGGACGATTTTCATTCGCTCGACTCCAGTGTCTGTCACCGACTGTCTCGAAATCTACTAGGGCCTTCTTCGCCTAGTCTGAACATCTCAGCGGCGGTGGGTCATCCATTACCTCACCACCACCAATCAGCTCGACGGCAATCGAGGGGGCGCTAGTCCTCTCACCTAGCCGTTGGTCCCTAGTCTAAGTCGATAGCGCCTCTAGAATCGCCCAGTTGGAACGCCAGTACGTTGGCCCGTTTCCCCCAAACACAGCTGGGCCAGTTTCTAGATAAGGCGACAGGGTATCGACAGCCTCTCTATAATGTTCAGAAGCATGGTTTCGCTTAAACCACGCCTCTTGGCATTATTTGATTGGTCTATTCACCTCACGCGCGGTTCACTTAAACCGCCGTTCGATGTCACTCTCATCTCTCGCTCAGCTTCTTCCGCTAGCGTTAGATGTCGCTCTCCTCTCTGTCCCTCACTCTAACCATTCTTGTCTCATGGGTTTTCGTGTTGGTACAACAGTTTACAGTAACGAGAAAATCTCGTTACACACCTCCCTCCTTAGGAGAGGTTTCGACCCGAAACTTACACTTTTACACTTCAAGTTGAAATCTCCTGGAGTAACTCATCTTCCGACTCTTCGGTCGGAGGGTCGTCCAAGGCTTACTTATAGGCCTTCATGTCCACTATTGAGGTGCTTTTTGGATTACGACCCGCCAAGTCAGAAACTTCGTAGAAATTTCTGGAATGCTTCTTGGTGACTACGAAGGGTCCATTGAATGGTTTACTCAATGACGCTGAGCGATGCTTGGCAGCATTGGACAGTTCGTGATTGCGAACTAATACTAGTTCACCGACCTCGTATTCGCCAGTTCTTCGGCGCAAGTTATACGCTTGTGCCTGTCTATCATTAGCTTCGGCTAACGCATGTCTGAACGCTAGCCTCAGGGTGTCATGGCGTTTCATACGTTCGATCCATGAGGCTGTAGGTGTCTCTTCGACTTCCACGTCACCTTCTAACTTTCGTCGTAGTGAGTTTTCGGGCTCTAGTTCTCGACCAAAGTTTACGAAAGCAGGTGTGGCTTTCAGAGAACTGTGTTGGGCTGTATTGTATGCAAATCCAAAGGCATCCAAATGGCAATCCCAATCACGGTGGTCTGCTTCCACATACGCTCTTATCATCACCGTAGCTTTACGCAAAGGGCGAATTTCTATCCACTTCGTGAAGAAGTCTTGGATCTCCAGAATGTACTGATGGCCTGCTTTACTTCGCGTAAATGGTCCCATTATGTCAGCACTGCGCCTAGCCCTACGCGACTCGCATCCGTTTGCAGAGTGAACGGTACCGAGAAATCTGGACATGACAGTATTGGAGCCGACCCGAGGTGCTTTTTCAGCTCCTCAAAGGCTTCCTGCTGTTCTGTTTCCAAAACCCAGGGTTGTTTTGTCTTGGTTAGACGCGTCAAGGGTTGAGCCACAGTTGCACATTCTGGCATAAATCGTCGATACCAGGAGGCCATTCCCAAAAACCGACGAACCTGCTTGAGATTCTTAGGTACTGGGAATTCTACTATTGCCGACGTTTTGTCAGGGGCGACTTGCAATCCTTCGCTGTTCACTACGAATCCGAGGTATTTTACCTCGGACCGACAGAACACGTTTTTTTTTCACGATTTATGGTTGAACCGTGGTCTCTCAATTTATCGAGAACTTTTCCCAGCCACTTTAGGTATTCCTCAAATGTATTGGACACGATAATAATATCGTCCAAGTATACGAAGACGTGGGGGTACATTTCTGGGCCAATTATTTTATCCAGGGCTCTCTGGAAAGTTGCAGGGGCGTTCGTCAAGCCATATGACATGCGTTCTAACTGAAAGAACCCTCTTCCAGGTACCGTTAAAGCAGTGATCTCTTTCGAGTCTTCTGCTAACGGAATCTGCCAATACGCCGCGCTCAGATCGAGCGTCGAGATATAACTAGCTTGTCTTAACTCATCAAGGATGCCGGTCATGTTTGCTACCGGATATGCATCCTTTTTCGTGACTTCATTCACCCGACGGAAGTCGATACAAAATCAATAATTTCCGCTGTGTTTCTTCACCATGACGACCGGACTGTTCCAGTCGCTTGCTGATGGTTTGGTGATGCTGTCTTTTATCATATCATCAACTTCTTTCCACATTGTTAATTTTAAATGATGGGAGGCTAATCTGACCCTTTCTCGAATCGGCTCGTGGCCTTCAACATAGATTTTGTGGGGTGCTGGTTTGGAAATCAGGGGACTTCCTTCTATCACTGGAATCTTTTCATCCAGGATTTGTTGGAGTTGGCTCTGTTGCCCTTCTCCAGGCGTCTTTAGACCATTGCACACTGTCATATGGCAGGCCCTCTCGACTGCTGCAATCTTGAAGGACTCTTCAGGTTTATCTCTGAAGAACCAGGACTGATCAAAGAAATCTATGACCATTCGATCTTCTTTCAGAAAGTGTAATCCCAGTATGAAATCTTCAGATAGCGAGGCCATCCAAAGTGTTTCCACTGTGACTGCTCTTCCTCCTAATACCAAAGGGGTTTTGGAAGCTTCTTTTAGCACTTCCAGTTGACTATTCGCCACTAAAACTCTTCTAGGTTGAATTCTTTTCGCGCTAATGCCTAGTTCGCTCAGCAGCTCTGTCCTCGCCTCTCCTGCGACAGTGCGAGACGAGTCCCGAGTCGACTAGACCGCGGATCTGTCTTTCGTGGATTTCAATATCCACGTGAAAAGCAAATGTTTTGCCTTCTTTCATTGCCTGCCTCACAAACTCCAAATTAGGGTCCATTTCTGGCGAAACTAATTTCAAGGGATCCCTCATGGATTCTAGAGTGAGGGTATCACTCCTATTTCCTTCTCCGGATTCTTGTGTCACTGTGTCGAGGCTTATTTCTTCCCTCTCTCCGGTTCTTTCAACCTCAGGGCCGTCACTTTCCGCTGAGATTCTTTCCGTCCTGGCTTCCGAGACGGACTCCTCAGTCTCTCGGATTATTATCTCCCTCACGACCGCGATTTCTGAGTTTCGCGGCGGCGTAGACATTGGTGTGTCGTTTACGCTGCCGGCTCGGCGTTTCTCGGGTTACACCTCAGGCACTGTGGGAAATGCACGTCCTTGTTGCCATATACGTAGCAAAAAACTGTCCTCGGGCCCGTGCAGATGCGCCAGGAGTCCTCTCTGGTCGCAATTGAAGCATTTCATGCCCTATGGGTTTGGACGACTGGCGCCAGGTCTGTTGTAGCCAGTACTTCCACCCCTCCCTGAAGAGGCACCACGTCCTTGCAAGGCGTGTGCCACTTCCAACTCCTCAAGGAAAATGCTTTCCTCGTGATCTCTCCCTGTAGGCTCTGCGTCCTCTTCTGCGAGGATCATTGCCTTTAGGGTTGCTCTCTGAGTGATCTTTTAGGTCTTGGGGCTTCGATAAGCGAAGCTGGAGCACAGGAATTTCTCTGGCTGCCTTGGTGGCTGCCACTTTTTCGCACTTGCGTACAAGATCTCTTGTCGCATGGCGTGCTTTTCTAACGCCTTCAATGTTGCGTTCGCACTCAGGTTGAAACCTATCCTGAACTTAGGTAACGTATTGTGGTACATATACGTTAGCGTCTGTTGCTCAGGCCATTCGGCGTCCGTCCTGGCGAAAAGACCCTTCAAGTTGGCTACGAATTGAGCCACGGGTTCATCCTCACCTTGACGACGGCTTGCTACTTCTTCGTGGAGCGCGACTTGATAGTCCAGCTCCCCAAAGTTCTCCCCGAATGCATGGCACGCATCCTCCCATGAATATACCTCTACCTGGCGATACCAAGTGAGTGCACTGCCTGTTAGATAACCTCTCAAGACTCCGAGGAGGTCAGTTTCTCAGATACGGAGGGTCTTCATGGCGTCATCTACTCGGGATATGAAATTTTTCACATCCTCGTCGGGTCATCCTGAGAATTCGACTCCCCACTTTTTCAACGCCTCAAGAGCTTTCTGAGCATTGAGATAATTTTCTCTGCGAGGTCGATATTCGTACTCGCTGCTCACGTCTGAGGAGGATCGATGATGCCTCCTTTGGGACGTGGAATGCCTCTCCTCCGCGAATGGCAACCTCCTCGGTGGGATGGGTTGCCGTGCGGTTTCCTCTCGGGTTCTCCTACGGAATTCTTCCTGAAGAACCGTCGCTTCAGGGGCTACGGGCATAGGCCCGATTCGGCCCCATAACTCTCTGTCGAGGCGTTGTACCCTGGCCAGCAGCTCGGCTGCGGTAGGGGTCGCCTCTGTCACTCTCACCCCAGGTATGTCTCCTGTAGGTGTCGTGGTGCTGGCAGCATCTCTGCTGCTTTTACCACTAGTTTTGCTTCCTGGTGGCCTTCCTCTCTTGCGAGGGGGTGCCATCTGGGCCTGCGTCTCGGCGGCTTTTATCTGCCCTTCCAGGGCTTTTGTTTGTTCCAGGAGTGCCTTCAGTGCAACCTGGTTTGCGGTCTCCTCGCCTTTTTCATTAGGCGTCCCTGCTCGGGTATAGAATCTCGCTTTCCCTAGCGTAAATGGCTTTTTCGGAAGTGGTAACCTCTCCTCCTTACTGCTTGGGGCCACTCTTCGCTTTCCGAGCTCGGACTTCGTCTCTTCCTCTGAGAGATCCTCGTCATCGCTCCTCTGCTCGTTATCCCCCCTAGGGTCTAGCCCTGGGTTCCTAACGTCACTTGATCCGGACGCGCCATCACCCCTCCCTGGCGATATTCCGTCCAGTCTCCCTTCTCCTCTCGAGTCACCCACCGATTCTGTGTGCGCCTCGAGTTCACTTTTCCCAATTTTCTTCGACTTTTCAGTCAACTGGGGATCGTTCTTCGGTGCCATCTTTGCAACGAGAGAGTTCTTTGTTTGAGTCGCAGGTGTATTGCACCTAGTGTCTCGGGAAAGAAAAGGCTCTCCCGGGCTTTCGCAGCTCTTCTTATACCCGTTTCGCAAGGGTGGGGGTTTCTCCCCACTCCTTGGCCTGTCTCTGTCGACCGCGCCCTCTATTCCGGGTCGTGTTTCTGTTGCTGGGGTCTTTTGGGGTTTTCAACTATGGTTAAAATTCCCCTACTTCCCCCCGAGACTATCGCTAGGCCATCTAGTCTGAAGTCTAGTCTAGACTTCAGGTAGAGAAAAATTCGTATTTTCGCTCCTCCTGTCGATGGCGCCCTCTGTTTTGGGCGTCTCTCCGTCGTTTGTTCCTTCTAAGGTCTTTCCTTTTTCACTGATTCCCCTAACGACCTCACTAGATTCGCTAGTGTTGCTTCCAAGATGAGAAAAATTCAAATTTCCCTCTTTCTGGCGCTCTTTTTCGAATTTTCCCGCAAGAAATGCGTTCTCTCGGCCTTGAATCGGAATTCAAGTATAGTGGCGCCATCTATTGGCTTCTCCTTCTCAGAAGAGTTACCATCAGATTTCTTTTCTCATCAGTCGGTAACTCCTTCTTTACCGACTGCCGACGCTGACTTGGTGCTTTTACCGACCGTTGGGATTTTCTGTGTCAGTCGGCCAAGATGTTAGCCCGTTACCGACTGTTTCCTTCCACGGGGAGACGCTCGATGGCGCCTACTACTCGTTCACCGTATTCTGACACTGCACGTGCTAGAACACGTGCATTTTTGGGGTTGTTTGTGTGGGGCTTTCGCCCCTAACTCTCGCCTTCTTGACTTTTCAGCCCATCCAGCGCCCTTTTCCCGATTTTGTGGTCTTTTCAGACCACTTTCGAGCTTCCTCTCATCCGTTCCCAGGGTGTTTTCGGGATATTGTGGTCTTTTCAGACCACTTTCGAGCTTCCTCTCATCCGTTCCCAGGGTGTTTTCGGGATATTGTGGTCTTTTCAGACCACTTTCTCCCTTGCTCCTCAGCCTGTAACAAAAAAAAAAATGCAGGCAACAAAAACCATAAAAAAAAAATTTTGCCCCAGAAAAAAAACATGCAGCGGCTGCTACGGCCTTCCCCACCCACTTTAGGTGGTCTTGGCTTCGTCCTCGCCAGTCGAGGGTTTCCCCTTCCTCTCGCGGCCGCTGAGGGTGAGTTTCTGCGCCTTTCGACGCAGGTTCCTCATCTCCTTCCTTCTCGTCCTGGCTTCTTCGGACCGTTTCGGCCCTTTGGTCTCCCTGGGCGTTTTCTTCTCGGCGTCTTTTGAGGTGGGTGGGGCCGAGGGCGGTGCTCTCTTCTCCCACTGCCTCTTGGTTGCCGCCTCCATCGCTTTCAAAATATCTCTGGGGATGTTCCGTCCAAACTTTGGGATCCAGGGACCCC